GATTTGATTTTTTCTTGTTGTATAAGCTTAGTGTTGTAGTTGTTTGTGGGTAGTACATAAGAGTTTGTAGTTATCACTGTTATTTTATTACTGTAGCTGGATATTTTAAGATTAGAGACTATTCCCCTTGCCATTCCCATCCCTATATCTCTGACACGTTTTACTAGAAACCATAGAATAAATATAATAAATACTGTAAATCCATTATTAACACGGTCTATTAAAAATCTTAGAATAAATACTATAAATTCACCATTGTCATAAATCAATATTTTTTATTTGATAAAACTGTCCACCTGGTTCTGTCCGTCTCCCCTTGGGTATTTATCATCGGACCTGTGATTCTCGCGACAAAACTCATGTGAAGTGAGAATTATCCATCCTGGTGCTGGAATGGTGAAGACATGTTGAGCTCATCAGTGCATATACAGGCCTGTTTGATTGCAGAAAGAGGCTGAGAAAAGAAGAGAGGTTTGCTTGCACATTTCAATTCTCCATAGAATGTAGTTTTAATTACTATACTCTTTATTAATTGTTACTGTTATCAATAGAGTTATTACCTGTAAATCCTGCTGCTTTATAAAAGTACCAAATTTCTTCAGTTGAGGTGTGTTGGCATCAGTTAATGGATGTCTGGGGTAAAGACATAATTTTACAAGAGATGTCACTTACCAGGACTGACTTTGTATGATTATCTCTTGCTATTCTTCGATTCAAACACAGCAAAGAAAAGCTGATTTGCTTACAACATTCAAAGACGTGTTGTTATCGGTTAATGATTCACAATTCAAAAAACCCATTGTGTTCCACCAAGAGACATTAGCCATGCAAAGATAAAGTGAATTCTTGCATCAATTTTCTAATAAAAGGCAGATTCAGAAACCAAATACATTCAACAAATGAATGCAAAGAATGAAAGAAAACAGAGTGATTAACATGTAGCTGGAGATCTGGTAACTTCAAAATAGGATTAGAGATTTTTATAAGATTTATAATTTTAAGAAAATCTTTAGCAATTAGACAATGCAGCAAGTTGTCAAATTAATCCAGTTATTATAAACAGGACTTACCATTTAGTTGGACAACAAATAATTTATAGCATTCAAAGTAAGTGTAGGCATACCGCACTTGCAAATGAAGCCCGGGATTTGAATTTCCCGGGCTTCATTTGCCTAAGCGGGGCGCTGCCATTTTTAAAACCCCGCTCGTTCGAACCCCGTGCAGCACGGCTACACGGGGCACGAACTAGGTAGTTTGAACTAGAAATGGCGGCGGCCCGCTTATGCAAATGAAGACCGGGAAATTCAATCCCAGGCTTCATTTGCAAGTGCGGTATGCCTACATTACTCTCCTAGTTCGAACTAGGAGGGTAGTGTAGACATACCCAGAATGTTATGACATACCCAAAGAATCAATCTATCATCTTTTAGCCCTCTGTCACTGCCTGAGCTTCAAACTTCTTTTGTGTCAAAACTATTTTAAACACTAAAGGAGTTGGGACTATTAAGTTATATCTTTGATTCTGTTATTTTCTTCCTTAGAGGCCTTCGTCCACTTAATTTCTCTCTGCTTCAGTTTCCCTGTCTTTAACATGTGTATAATTCTTACCTATCTAAAAGGAGTGAGGTTTTGTGAGGTGCTTTGAAATCTTCAGATGAAAGGTGCTATAGAAGTGCAAAATGTTATTAGAGAAGGATAGAATTTCTACAACCTCTCCAGACTGCATCATCAGAGCATCTCAAATGGATGAAATTCTCCCAGCATTAATCTCTGTGGGTATGTCTACACTACAAAGTTAGTTCGAACTAACGGCCGTTAGTTCGAACTAACTTTGTAGTGTAGACATACCCACAGAGATTAATGCTGGGAGAATTTCATCCATTTGAGATGCTCTGATGATGCAGTCTGGAGAGGTTGTAGAAATTCTATCCTTCTCTAATAACATTTTGCACTTCTATAGCACCTTTCATCTGAAGATTTCAAAGCACCTCACAAAACCTCACTCCTTTTAGATAGGTAAGAATTATACACATGTTAAAGACAGGGAAACTGAAGCAGAGAGAAATTAAGTGGACGAAGGCCTCTAAGGAAGAAAATAACAGAATCAAAGATATAACTTAATAGTCCCAACTCCTTTAGTGTTTAAAATAGTTTTGACACAAAAGAAGTTTGAAGCTCAGGCAGTGACAGAGGGCTAAAAGATGATAGATTGATTCTTTGGGTATGTCATAACATTCTGGGTATGTCTACACTACCCTCCTAGTTCGAACTAGGAGAGTAATGTAGGCATACCGCACTTGCAAATGAAGCCTGGGATTGAATTTCCCGGTCTTCATTTGCATAAGCGGGCCGCCGCCATTTCTAGTTCAAACTACCTAGTTCGTGCCCCGTGTAGCCGTGCTGCACGGGGTTCGAACGAGCGGGGTTTTAAAAATGGCAGCGCCCCGCTTAGGCAAATGAAGCCCGGGAAATTCAAATCCCGGGCTTCATTTGCAAGTGCGGTATGCCTACATTACTCTCCTAGTTCGAACTAGGAGGGTAGTGTAGACATACCCAGAATGTTATGACATACCCAAAGAATCAATCTATCATCTTTTAGCCCTCTGTCACTGCCTGAGCTTCAAACTTCTTTTGTGTCAAAACTATTTTAAACACTAAAGGAGTTGGGACTATTAAGTTATATCTTTGATTCTGTTATTTTCTTCCTTAGAGGCCTTCGTCCACTTAATTTCTCTCTGCTTCAGTTTCCCTGTCTTTAACATGTGTATAATTCTTACCTATCTAAAAGGAGTGAGGTTTTGTGAGGTGCTTTGAAATCTTCAGATGAAAGGTGCTATAGAAGTGCAAAATGTTATTAGAGAAGGATAGAATTTCTACAACCTCTCCAGACTGCATCATCAGAGCATCTCAAATGGATGAAATTCTCCCAGCATTAATCTCTGTGGGTATGTCTACACTACAAAGTTAGTTCGAACTAACGGCCGTTAGTTCGAACTAACTTTGTAGTGTAGACATACCCACAGAGATTGGGTAAGTGGAAGGAGGTGAGGGAGGAATGGGGCACGAGCCCCCGATGGGGAAGACTGGGCTGGCTCTGTGGGCTTCTGGGGGTGGAACCTCTCCTGCAGCCTCCCAATTGCCCCCTCTCCCCAGATGGCAGCCTGCGGCAAGTGCAGCCGGGCTGATGGTCGAGTGCTGTGATGTGCCCAGTGTGGGCACTCAGGGCACTCCAAGACAGGACTTCTTTGCAAGCGGGGCACCCCTGAGAACTGTCTGTCTGGGGTGGGGCTCGGGACCCTTTAAGCACAGCCCTTGGCTAGCCTGAGACAGCATCTCCATGCTCTAAGTCCTCCTCTGATGCCCTGCCAGCACTGCTTCCGGCCATCCTTAACCCCGCTTCAGGGTCCACTTAATGTGGACGCGCTAGTTCAAATTAGCAAAATGCTAATTCTAACTAGTTTTTAGTTCTAGATGCGTTAGTTAGAATTAGCTTAGTTCGAATTAACTAATTCGAACTAAGTTAGTTCGAATTAGCGCTGTAGTGTAGACATACCCTGTGGGCACATTTAAAATATTTATTTCAGTTGCAAAGATACTATTGTTTTAGTGGTATTCCTCATTGAAGTACATGAACTATTGCTGAAATAGGAAACATCTCACCACAGAAATTAATTTCTTAAGTATGCCCACTGTAAAAACAGTATCCAGCTCCCACAATATTACTCACGCTTCCATGCTGTGATGGGGCACTTGGCCCATACTGCCTCCCTGCAAGGATTACAGAAAAGTGGATTGAAGAATAGCCAATCAGAGCTGAGCAAGCACTGTATAAAAGGAGCTGAAGAACAGAGGACTTAAATTCTCTCAAGGGAGCCAAGCGAAAAGGAGCTGGGTCCTAGTAGCATCATGGAAAGTGTAGTGCTGAGTAGTTAGAAGACTGCTAGACTAGGGCCTTGAGGCAAGGACAAGAAAGGTGCTAGGGGCTACTACGAGGAAGTGGACCAGGGAAGCATGATAGAGAGGAAAGTCAGGGGAGATCAGAGGGAGGCTTCTATGGGCCCCTGGTCGGGGCTCGGGGAGGACTGAGAGGCAAGCAATGAACTAGCTAAATAAACCGTATCAGTTTGATCCAAAGTGAAGTGTGTGCACTTGAAATCAGACCAGCTTGTAGCTGAGAAGTGGATAGCTTGGAGGCACAGATGAATGAACTATGCACAGATTGACACAGTAACTGCAGCTGGTATTGTACATCTTTGAACTAGTTAATGATCCAATTTCATTGACATTTCTTTCTTCTGGGGCACTGTGGCGGGGTCCTCCCCGCCCCGTTCCCTTCTCCCTGAGATTAAAGCATTAGTAACAGGCCCTGAGGCCTGGTCCACGCCCTGAGGGGTTGGGGTAGGGCAGCCCGGGCCTTCCCTCTCCACCAGACCCCAACCCAGGGCCCTAATGGTGGTGGGGGGTTCCCACCACTGGCTCAGCAGGGAGGGAGTCCTCCCCGAAACACGCTGAGCCCACTGGGGTCTTCCCTGCCCCTTGCCCTGGGTTGCTTCCTACCCCAGTCTTGTGGCCGATGGATGTCCCACCTGGTGATGCTGGGCTGGCGGCGGCGGCAACATCAGCTGGTCCCATCTCTGGGGCAGCAGCGCAGGGGGTGTCCCCTGCAGCAGGGCAGGCAGCCCCCCGGAGTCAGCGTTGGGGGCGTGCTCGCCCCAGGGATGGTAGCAGCAATAGCAGCAGTCCCTCCGGCTCTGAATCTGGCAGCAGGTCCGGCGGCGGGCCTGCAGCTTGGGCCAGAGCTCCTTCCTCCCCGGCAGTCTGCCCCAACTGAGCAGCCCGGCAGTCTTTTATAGTGAGGCTGCACTTCGAGCATGCCCAGTACGGCTGTGGGGGAGGGGCGTGCTCTACCCAATAAACGGGCTCCCCTTCCTCCTGCTCAGTGCGGGGCAGGTTAGCCCCGTCACAGGGCACAAGAGACCTTTCAAAGTTTTGGGCCAAGCGAGAGGCCATGGGGACATCATTTGAGCTCCCTACCTCAGGTGCCAAAATGTTGTGGGCCGGCCCTGCTCAGAGTGGTGGTTAGGATTGCTTCCCATTTCTCTCCACACTTGCCAAGGTAGAAAGTGGCCAAGTGAGATTGCAGTTTATCTCTGAAGCAAGGAGTTAAATGATTGACTGCAGTGGGCCACTGAGGTGAATGAATGGAGAGTGGCTGTCTACTTCCTCAGAAGGGGGGGCAAGACAATAAAGCACAGTACAACTAGAGGGCAGTGCTCAGAAAAAGGATTCCATAATTCAGGAAGAGATGAGGGTCAAAAGCAAAGTGATGATGGTGAGATACCACCAGAGGAGGAGGGCCCTATATGAGGAAGGAGCTAATCCCCAGGATGTCCAAGGGAAAGTGCCATGGGGGTGAGTCCTCTCTGTCACATATACTTTATCTAAAAAAGTTCAAGCCTGCTTCTTTTCATCAGGAGGTAGAAACAGAAAGAGAGAGAGAGATTATTGCTGTCAGTGGGAGATGTTCAGTGATTGGTCCATAAGAACCTAGAGAAAGAATAGGCCAAAGAAAACATCAAATAAAATATTATCCTTCAAAGTGAAACACACCATCCAGCTGAAAGGCCAGATGA